CCCCAAAACCCCAAAACCCCAAAACCCCACCTAAACAAATTAAACAAAATTAGAAGTTGAAAATAATGAAAAATTAATTTCTAACATTATAAGATACATCTAAAACTCGTAAGAGTGAGATATCAAGCCTTTTAATACTCCATAATCATATCCATATTGAAATCGGTATTGCTATTAAATTTTATTTATTGCTCAGCAGGCGCCATCATCGGGTTCGCCATCGCCTAAAAATTTTAGGACATAGGAGATTATATCCTTAAGTCATCTAGATCTCTCCTTAGTCTCTTAATTGGATTGAATGAGCCCTCTATATCACTAATGGGAGAGGATATATTTGAGCCAGACCCATTGCTTGACATCTCTTAGAGTTTCCTCTTTCTGCTAGTAACCTGATCTATCAATTGCTAATTTTTTGGATTTTGATGCCTATTCTAAACAAATGGGAGTAAACTTAGATGCTTATCATAGGCATAGGACTGAAAATCTATGTTATTTAAATCTCTATGATTGAATCCTGGGTCAGCATCTTCATAGCCAACTTGTAACTCCAAAGCCAAGAGAATCATTTGAAGACTGAGCACTGGACTCCATTGCTCTTAGAGTATTTTAAGTTGAACCTCATCTGTGTTTCTGTTGACAAAATTAAAGTTCTGCTAGTACATTATGTTATTTTGAGTTTAAAAGTCTGACAAAAAGACTCTAGGTGCCACATGAGGATACTTGGGCAAGAAGTAAATGTGAAAAATGAAAAGGCCATTTTTGTAAAAGCCCTCCTAGCATCTAATCTCAACTTGAATATAGCCTAAAGATTGCCCTTTTTACTAATTCTGATCAAATTCGTTGCTTGCTTGCTTTTCGATGCTATCAATATTAGGGGAGATGGCAAGTGAATTGTTGTGTGAGTAGTATTAGCTAGATTTCACTTCTGCCTGGATTTACTTGAATTTGGACTTAGATTGGGACCTCGAAAAAAAGAACCTGCTTCTATCTATGAATGTCTGACTAGCATTGAATTCTGAGATGGTTGTAAGGCAGTTTTTAGTAGGCATTTTATTTCTGATGTACTCCTTGATGTCATTTTAAATTCTAAGCAATGCAAAGTCTTATTTGCTCCTACAATTATCTCTTAATTAACTACATTTTACCTACTTTGAGACAGAGGTTGAGACTGAAAAGCCAGAGTCTTCCTCATGCATGTCAATATTGTGAGGATCAATAGGATGATTAATAAATTGAGTGGCGTTCATTAAGAGTCTAGAATAAAAATTCTATAAATTTAAATTCAATTAAGACATTTATATTATAACAGTGATATTTTTCTATATTAAATATTCATTTCATCACTACAATCTGGCTGCCATTCTTATCAACTTAACTTTCCATCAATGCTAGTTTTGTTGCTATCTTTTACGGAAGCCATGCACAGCTTCTTTCTTTAAGTTAGGGAGGATGGTGTCATGTGAGGCATTCTTAAACATTTGATGAGAGGTTTTAGGACCTGAAGGTCGAATGTTCATATTTGAAACTTCTAGATTTTGATGATGAGTTTAGTAAGCGATATCTTCGTTCTAGAATCCCTTTGAGCTCAAAAGATTTTGGCTTGAGTTCTGAAGTTAAGAAGTAGAATTCTGATGTAAAGTCATTTCAGGCTTCATGATTTAAAGGATTTTCGAAAAGCCTGCTCCATACTATAATTCAATGATAAATGAGGAAGTAAATTTACCTTGGACAATCTTTCATTCGGATCTTTGAATGGCAATTTGGACCATGGCGTATATTCAGCTGGAAGACCTTGAAGATTCACAAGTCCTTTCTCACAGCTTGCACATGACCATCCACCAAGAGGTTTCTTTGCAAACATAGCATCATCTTCATGCCCTATGTTTAATCCATTGCCATTTTATGAATTAATGACTTATTCGTAAAGATTTTTCAAGGATGTTTCAAGGTTTTTAATTGCCTTCTTGGTATCGCCTTTATCTGCAAATTTGGATACTAAAGCCTAGAATAATTCATTTAATTTTTCTAGAATCTTTTGCTCTAATTCATTTAAGCTTTCGATCGAAGCTTTTTAGGCAACCTAATCAAGAATTTGTTAAATAGCTCTAGCATTATCAATCTTATAATTCTTAAATGCTTCTTCTAACTCTGCTAATCTTCTTAGAATATCAGCAAGATCTTCATTGTTGAAACTGCCTCTTTATTAAGAATCTGTTTCCTTGTGAGATATTTCGGTTCGAGGAATTGACCTAATGTCTTAGATCTCTTATCTTAACGAACTAAATTCATTTTCAAACATTTTTAGCTAAAAGATTATCAACAAAAGCTACATACCTATTCAAAGATCCTTCTTATATTATCCCTATTTTCGATACCTTACAATTCAACAGCTTTGAAATTGTTAATCAAAGTTCTAATCTTATCCAATTCAGCTTAAAATTCTTCCCTAATTTCTTATTTTAATTTTTCGAGATCTTCCATACTAGCCTTGCTGCTTATCTTCTTCAGCGCATCATTAATCAATTCTCTTAGCTCGTTTATGTTAAGAGATTTCATATCTCTGCAAATTAATGAGACTGTAAAATGATTTACCTTAAAAGCTTATGAATTAGTTCATCGATTTCCGTTACTTTTTAACCAAGTTCTCTAAGTTTATTCAAGTCTTTACTACTCATTCCAGTAGTCTAAAATACCTGAGTAACATTTGGCTTTTTAACATCATCAGGGCCACTTGTAGCTAATGCATTTATTGCTGCTTTAAGATTGTTAATTTCCTCATCAAACATCTCACACTCAACTTTGTTATTCAGCTCTTAATTGAGATCTTTCAATCTCAACTCAATTTCATCAGTTCTAAGTGTTAGATCCTATCTCATGTTTTCCAGTGTTTAACGTATTTATTATATTTAATCCTTCAACTCTCCACTTGTCAAATCTTCAAGCTGTTTTATTCTAATCTCATGATCCTCAACTTAGTCCTCTAAGTTCTAAATCCTATCATCTGCCTTATCCAGCTTCTCTTGAACTTATTATTGATATTCTTTGAATTCTTCTCTTCTTACAAATCTCTCTCGCATATCTTATCTTAGATCATTGAGGATTTCTTCCAACTCATCCTAACCTAAAAATTATATATCGACTTATATTACTCATTCCACTGTTTGAATTGGTGTTGGAACCTTGTTTCAATGTGAAGAACTTCTCATCGAAATTCTTAATTCTACCATTCGACTCTGTTATTTGGTGTTCAAGATCTTCTATCATTTTAAGTAATTTCGAGTCATCATAGTTCTTAAAGTTCGACATTTATTTCTGAAGATCCTCAATTTACTTAGTATTATCACCGATTGTTTTTTCTTGCTTGTCATTTTACTAAGCTATAAGTAAGCTTATTGGATTATGAATACTTACATAGCATTTCGAGATGCTTAGCTTGGTGCTAAATTTTTGCATCATGAAGATTTACCTGATTTACTAGTTTATCGATAGCACTTGAGAACTTGTCACTGTGATTATCGACCTCAAAGACTATCTTGTCAATAACCTTCTTTAGTACATCAAATGAGTAAGTCAAATGGAAAATCTAATTCAAATCGAACTCTAAAATCTATTCTCGAACTTTGGAGACTTTAGGGAGCTCCTTTAGCTTGTGCTCTTCTCCCCCTAGACTCATGGTTGATCTTTGATGTTATTAATCTCTTAGTAATGTTGACATTATTTTATTTATAATTAGTTAGATTTAGTACGTGAGTGAATTACTTAATGAATGAATCTATAAAAGTAGAGATAGAATTATAGTATGTTATATATTGAGAAATTATTTAAATATCAGAAAATCTCTCAGACAGCTGCAGCATTTCAAATATCGTTTTAACCATCAGCATCAATAATTTTAACGTCTTGCTATTCTTGCTCATGATCTGGTGCTCTATCTTCATCCTGATTTCCATTAATATACTGATCATCATTATCGTTCTAATATTAGTCTTGGTCTCTTTGAATGTAAGGATCATCCTGTAGCTATTGCTCAATTTATTCGATTAATTGATCGCCTTCAGGAAGTTGCTCTTCTTCATGCTGTTAGGCTCTTAAATCAGCACCTTAGATGATCTGATCAACTTCATCAATAGAAGCTCTTCTTTAAACTTCAACGTCCTTGGCTCTTTTTAAAGCCTGAGCGAATTTAGATTTAGATTGCTCTTTTTCCTCTTCTGAGATCTCTAGCCAGACACTTCTATTGTTGCCTTCCCATTGACCCTTTCTAATTGTTCCATTTGGTAGAATATAAACTCTAACGTTATCTTATTTACCTTCAGTCCAGTTTCCGATGTAAGCTCTACCATCAGCCCAAACATAAACTCCAAAGCCATTCTTTTTATCGTTCTTGTATTGACCGTGATACATTCTTCCATCAAGCCATTTGTAGGTTCCCTCACCGTGCATCATGTTATTTTGCCACTCACCACAATAAATTCTACCATCTCCCCAAATGTAAATACCATATCCGTGGATTGAATTATCAGCCCAGTCACCAACATATTTGTTTCCATCAGGCCAGCTATACATTCCACGACCTTCTTTTTTGGAGTTGACGTAGTTACCGTAATAATGGCTGCCATCTTACCATGACTCTCTGCCGATACCATGCTGTTTATCATCAAGCCATTGGCCTTCATATTTAGAGCCATTAGCATGGGTATAGATTCCGTAGCCGTTGGCCTTGTCATTTTACCATTCACCTAATAAAGTCGTTAAACTTCTATTGAAGAAATATGATCAGAAACATACCATCGTATACATCACCATCAGTATGGAAGAATCTTCCTCTGCCGCTTGCAACATTGTTTCTCCACATACCCTCGTATTTAGCACCGTCTGGCCACACTTGAATACCAAATCCATGTCTTTATCCATCTTTAACCTGTCCCTTATATACAGTACCATCTGGGAAAACCACTTCTTCCTTGAACTCAAGGCCCTCTTCCTTCGATAGATGCTCTATATTTGTTTAAATCAATTTAATGTTGCTTACTTTCGTAGTATTTTCCTGATTTTGCTTGTTTACGGACCTGACGACCTCTCGCATGAGCTTGGATTTTCACAACTTTTTCTTTTTAAAGATCGTCGTATTCTTATTGAGTAGGATTGAATTCGCTCTTTACCTTGCTTTTTCTATTATCCTGTAGCCATGTATTTATAAAGTGCTGGGTTAATACGTACCTTCATAAGGATTTCGCCTTCTTCTTGCTGTCCATTGCAGCCTCCACACTGATTTCCCATATTGATGAAGTTTAAGTTTTTTGAAATTAATTATAGCGCTTCACCCAAGATTTACTTATAAGAATTAAATTTAAAGAGAGGAATTATACTACAAGTAAAATTTATATAATGGCATTAGATTAAATTAAGAATGAGAATATATCAACTGCTTTGCTTCGCATTATTCTCTTGAGCTCATGCACTGCAAGCTCTCTTTGAGCTGTCGGCGTAGTATTGACAGTGGGTCAGGGGGTCGCTGTTCTGATGGTTGTTATAGCACTAAAATTATGAATATAAATACAAATTATTTTACTCTTTTCAATCCATCGACAAGTCTTTGGCAAGTCTCGTTAGTGATTGTATTTGCACCTAATATCATTAATATTAACGCAATAATTACCGAAATAAGATGAGAAGAATTATTAGAAAGAAGGAACAGCGGCAACTGCAGCAACGGGGACAAGGGGGTTCTTGCCTGGCATAACTGGCTTGAAGAGAACAGGTGAGCCAATGGAGAATCTCTTAAGATCTGGGTGCAAGAGTTGGCCTGTTGAGTATACCCAACTTCCCTTGAATGGGTGGCCTGCGACCATGTTTGGATGGGCGTGATCTATAAAAAGAGAATGAGTTTGTTGAGACTGAGGAGGGATTCTTACAAGCAACCCACTTGAGAGTTCTGAACCATGATCTAGTTTGAGAGAATCTCTTTCTGATCTTTTTAGGCTTATCTGCGCCTCTGTAAAACTTAGCTCCCATATTAAAATATATTATTTATTATTTCAATTCATTTCTATTTCTATGCATCGGGGTTTTGGGGTTTTGGGGTTTTGGGG